TTTTGTGTAGCACTGTCTTCTGCCCTTTGTTGTAGATCTTTGCTGTAGTTATAACCTTCACATGTACTGAAGTTCAGGTGGAGCTCTACAGAGTTTGGACTTATCCAGCTGCGTCTGGGTTAGGTCTGGCTGTTGTACTCAGCTCCTTCTCGCTGCGGACCTAGGCTAGGACTGGGTCTGGGCATTCCCGGAACTGGGCAGAAATTTCTACTCGGTGGGATGGGTGAGGGAGGTATGGCAGAATGGTGGGGAGTGGCCCGAGGGGGTGGGAGAGGGTCCTGCCCCCCAAGAGATCCTTTCTTACCTTTTCATTAACTGCATTAGTATCTTCTAGATCTGAAACTCTGTCTTCACTTTCACTCAAATGGTTTTGCAAGCTTGTGATTGAGGTTTTGAGTTCCTCTATATCTCTTTGACTCTGCTTCATGTGATCTGTTTCTTTCCTGTGTTGCTCATTTAAGGAATCTATCACTTTGGTAATCTCCTCTATTTTTTTTATCAGTGTCTTCTTTAGAAGCAGTTACTCTTTTACTGCAGAGTTTTTTTCAGATTGGACTTCCTCCATATGTTTCTGTATTTGATTCTTTACTTAGATGTATGAATTCAGATTTTTTTTGTCAGAAATTAATTCTTATCTGAGTTCTTCTACTCCTTTCTGCTGTTATTTCTTTACTTTGGATGCTGTGAACTCATACATTTCAGCTGAGCTAGTGTCCTCTGCACTTGTTCTGGGTGGGCATTGGGTTTCCCCCATATGTTTCGGTATTAGATTCTTTACTTCACATGGTATGAATTCAAGTAATTCTTTTTTTATTTCAGAAATTAATTCTGCTCTGAGTTCCTCTATACCTTTCTGCTGTTGTTTCTTTACTTCCAACACTGTTCATTCATTTCAGCTGAGTTAGTGTCCTCTGCACTTGTTGTGGGTGGGCTTGAAGCCTGAGATTGCATTTTCCTCCTTGTCTATATCATTTCATATAGCACTGACATATGACCTTTGGTGTAGAACTTTGGTGCTGTTATAACCTTAGCACCTACTGAAATTCAGATGCAGATCTATTAAGTTTGAGTTTATCCAGTCATTCCTGGCCTGGTTCTAGCTGTTGTGTTCTTTGAAAGTGAACCTGTTATGCCCTTCTGGCACAAATGTGAACCTGTGGTGCCCCTCTGCTGTGCCCCTGGCTCAGGGAGCATTGGGGAGCACAGAAGCTCTCCCACACACTAGCTGGTCTGGGCTTGAGCTGGATCTGGGGGTCTTGAGAGAGTTGCAGAAGTTCTTGCTCCTTGGGTGGGCTTTGGATTGGGGGCTCCGGAGGGTTTCAGGGGTCCCAAGGGCACAGTAGAGGGTCTCACTCACATGGGTGCCTGAGTTTTGGTCTGGAGGGGTCCCGTGGGTGCAAGGAAGCTGGGAGCTCTCCCACACATTCGCTGCTAGGCTTGTACTGGACTGCATCTGGCCCCTCTGTAGATAAATGGATGCAACTAGAGGCCATACTTATAAGTAAATAAACCAGACCCACATGTTTATATATGACATTCTCTCCCTAGTCTAAGAATCTGAAGGGATAAATAAAATCTGAAAGGAATAATAGATATAATAAAATGGAAAGAAACTGTACATAAGGAATAAACAATAAAGATGTTTGAATGGAGGAAAGAGGGGCTGTGGAGATGGCTCACTGGAATAAACACTTCCCTGGCAAGCCCAAGGTCCTGAGTTCAATCTCCGGTTCTGCCAAAAAATAAAAAAATAAAAAATAAAAAAGAAAGAAAGAAAAGAGAAAAGATAGAACAAAAAGTAATGGAGGGAAATCACATAAGTATATATTCAGGATAGCTGAATAGATCATTTTGATCTATTTCTTGAAACTTGCAGTTAATATTTAATATTTTCACACTGACTAACTCTATATGCTAATATTAAAATCTGATCAACTACATCAAAGAAAGCAAAGTGCAATACAAAAACCACAGTTGAATACCTCTCACCTTGTTCTTCCTAATGTGTACAGTTTCTAATATCCTATCAATTAGTATACCCTCACAGGCTTGCCAGATAGCTCAGTTGTTTAAAACACAACTTGGGCAAATGTAGTCAGGCTCAGGGGACCGTGGTTCAATCCCCAGCTCTACAAGCCACACCATACCCTCCCTAAAGGCAGCCTGAACCAGCCAAATAAATCCTCAATTAATATACCCTCTTGAAAATAATTAAAAAATAAAACGTAAAAAGGACAAGAGGGCCAGCCACTGGAATAAAGTGGATTAGAGTGCCTGCTTAGGCAGGTGCAGGGTCTGGCAGTTAGATGCCCCACCTGCAGTGCCAGCCTGCCCCCAAGGCACGCTGAAATGGCGATTGAGACTGAGCGTGGTGGTGCACACCTGCCCAGCACTTGGGAGGCTGATAAACAGGAAGGATCACTATGAGTCTGATCTGTGTAGTGAGACCCTGTGCACCCTGTACTAAATACATTTTGAAAAAAAAAAAAAAAAGAATAAAAAGGACAAGGGAAAAAGTTGTTTATTGAAAATGTTAATGTTTAATTACTTGACCAATCTTGCATACCTATATCTATTTATCTCAGCAACTGTTTTGATGGTGAAAATATGTAATACGGCAACCACTTCTAAATTTTTATTCCTGTTTTGAAATTCTGTACCATATGTACTTTTATTTGTCACTGATTCTGTCTTTGTTTCTGCTATTTGTTTTTGTCTTTAAAATAAAACTAAAAATAAACACAAAAAATTGTTGAAAAAATCAGACCCTAAATTTAAAGACATAATACAAAATTAAAAAAGACATAATACAAAAAATGGGCATTTGATACTGGACTGTATCGTATTACTTTGCTGAATTCACGTACCTACAATATTTGAATGGCAATGGAACACCGGTCTCTGACAAAACTAAACAAAAAAGGGAGATATAAATGAAGGTCCATTTTGTAGTGAAAAAATATATATATGTATATCTGTATATACAAAATAGGAGAGATATACAACTACTTGCTCTTAGTTCAATGAGAAGAAAGATTTATACTAATAGTGTTTAGATAAGGTTCATGTCTACATCTTGTACTCTGAATAACTACTATGAAGACAACAATGTGCAGTATATTAATTATTGTAACTGTCCTACTAACCTGTTTTGAAACTGTCTCATTGCTATTTCTTTCTCAATAAAATTTCTAAAAGATGAGCATTTGAAATGAAGACACATGTATTAGAAAAAATACAAATTTCAAGCAAAAACATGAAAAACCATTCAACATCACTGATCAATAAATGCAAATTAAAACAACTCTAAGATTCCATCTAACCCAGAAAAAATGACTGTTATTAAAAGATCAACCAATAACAAATGTTGTGGGGTTGTTGAGAAAAACAAACCCTTCTCACTGTTGGTGGGAGTTTAGACTGATTCAACTATTGTGGAAATAATCCTTGTGGAGATTTCTCAGAAACAAAGAGTATAGGACCCATTTGGCCCAGCTATTCTCCTTGTTCTCTTCGCAAATGGATAAAAAGCACCACACCACAGAGATATATGCACACACATGTTAAAAATAACATAGTTTCTAAAAGCTAAATCTTGGAAACAATCCAAATTCCCTTAAACTGAGGAATAGATAAAAAGATATATATTTTTATACAATGGAGTATACATAGATAAACATAAGTATACATAAGGATAAACTTGAGACATTTGGAGCTAAATAGATTCATCTTGAGACCATACTCTTAAGTGAAACAAATTGGATAAGTGTATTTAAATATTTGTCTCTCTTGTGTTAGAAACTGAAAGTATAAATAAAAATTAAAGTGTATAATAGATATTGTGAAATAGGAAGTCATTGTTCAAAGGGAAAGGAGAATAGGGAAGAGTGGAAGGAAAAATTTAAAAAATGTGAAATAAAAGGATGAAATGGAAGCCAAGCATTATAAATAAGAAGGGGGAAAGGGATTGAAGAGGGGGACAGGGATGAAAAAAGTGACTAACATACAGCATGTACAGATACAAAGTTCCTCTAATGACTGTGATCATCAATCATCATGCACATATCAACTTTACCTGTAAACTTAATTATAAAAAAGCATGATTTACCACAGGCCTCTCTACCCATAAATAGTCTCAGCATATCAAAAAATAAAGAAAACACATAACCTGATTATATTCTTTTATTTACCAACTTTTGTTACAAGAAAATGTTAAGTTAATTTGAAACTTAGGATAAATTAAAACACCATACAATAAGACCCACAAAATTTCAGGTAGGAATCGTGTGAGCCAGCATAATGGCAACAGAAGGCAATAACACAGAGCTCCAGATGGACCCAAGCAGATGTGCAAAAGTTCGAGAATTAAATTCTCAGAGATTTAAGCCAGTGGGGGGGGGGGAACTTGCTGAGATAAATGTTAATTTTTTTCCTTTATAACTTTAATTAAACTTTATTTTGAGATAACTTCATGTTATCATGCAGTAGTAAAAATAACAAAGACAAATCTATATAATTTATAGCTCAAATAACATTGACATTGAGAAACTATGGTGCGTTATTACAAGCAATATATTAATACTGATAAAAGGAAATTAAATAAACAGGCCAAGTGAGAGTTGCCTGTGTATGTTTATGGAGGTACTGTTTCCAATGGGTAAGATATGGACTCAACCTAGATGTTCATCACCAAATGAATGGATAAAACCGACATGATGCACACATATTATGTACTAATAATAAGCCATAATGAAAATGAAATCCAGTTGTTTCTGGAATGTGGATGGAACTGGAGGAGATTTTGTTAGGTGAAATACACTAAACTTAAAAAGCACAGTATCAGGGGCCGGGGAGATGGCTCAGTGGAATAAGAGCTTCCCTGGCAAGCGCAAGGGCCTGAGTTCAGTCCCCGGTTCCACAAAAAAAAAAAAAAGCACAGTATCTTATCTCTTAATATATTGACTTTTGCAATAAAAAGTCTGCCTTACTATAAAACAAGATGATACACTTGAGGAAGGAGGAGTAAAAGGACAGAAACAGGATATTGGATTTGATTCATTCTAGGCATATCCATATTTCAAAATAGTACACTGACCCTCATTGATACATACAACTACTACCACTTAATAAAAGTAAAACTAAACAAAAACAGTTTTTTAAAAAATCAAGAATCCTTGTGATTGTCCTTTTATAACTTACATCCATTTCCATCTCTTCTAGTGCCCAATTCTTAAAAAAGAACTACCCTACTTCCCTGTTACATATCTTTATCATTTGAAAAATAATGTGTTAAATGTAGAAATATACATCTAGGGAAAATAGTGGTATAGATGTATCTGGGGAATGCTTTCTTGTCAGTAACATGGACATTGAGATGAAATAGAAATAGATCCTAATATTAGAATTAAATCAATGCCTATTATACTAGGGTCTAGCACCAGGAAGAAGGGGCAAGGAAGTAATCCATGAAAGAATGATAAGCACATGAACCAAAATGGTGTACTCAGAATTGCTACCAACATAAACATACATTAATTGCCTCTTTGTTTTTTCCATGCTTATCCAACCTAAGACTATAGTTAGTAAAAGAAAAATAGATGAGCATGATATGGTCTTTTAAAATGTTCCTACTCAGGATATATTTTTCAAAAATATGTAGTATGGGAGAAGATTTTCCAATTATTTCTTATTCTGATATTGTAAAATAACATTGTAAAAAGTTGAACAAGGACAAATAAACAAATTTTGATGTAATACAGAGCAGAAACTACAATCTAAAAGGTCATATACATAGTAGAGGGAAGATAAAATCAAAACAGTGGAAACTCCGAAACAAAAACTGAATGAGTGAATTCCACCTTCAAAAGCAAGCCTGTCCTATGGATAACCCACTACTATTATGGACTACTGAGCTATATTGGATTATTTTGCTGAATTCATGCACCTACAATATTTAAATGGCAATAGAATACCCATCTCTGACAAAACTAAACAAAAAAGGGGATATAAATTAAGGATTATTTTGTATCTGTATATACAAAATATGATAGATATACAGCTACTTTCCCTTAATTCAATGAGAAGAAAGATTTGTACTAATAGCATGTGGACAGGATATCATGTCTGCATCTTGTACTATGAATAACTGCTATGAAGACAACAATATGCAATGTATTAATTATTGCGATTGTCCTACTAACCTGTATTGAAACTGTCTCATTGCTATTTGTTTCTCAATAAAATTAATTAAAAAACACAAATATCAATTCTGCTTTGAGCATTAAATACAGCAATCATGGGCCTTTCTTCAGTCTCAAGACGATGGCCACATTTTCAGTCATCTTCCAACAGAATCTTCTCAGGGCATTCTTGATGTCCTTATTTCTCAGACTGTAGATGAAAGGGTTCAGCAAGGGTGTGACCACACTGTACATCACCGAGGCTGTTGCAGTTGAGTGTGAATTTTCAGTGACGGCAGAACTAAGGTACACACCTAGGCTTGTGCCATAAAATAAGGATACAACTGAGAGGTGAGATGCACAAGTAGAAAATGCTTTGTACCTCCCCTGAGCTGAAGAAATTGCACGTATGGAGGAAACTATCTTGGAGTAGGAGTATAGGATGGCAGCAAAAGGACAACAGGCAATTAGCACAGTTGCAAAATATATCACTATATTATTTGAAAAAGTATCTGAACAGGCACAGTGGACAACCTGATTAAGTTCACAGAAAAAATGTGGGATTTGCAAGTCTGTACAGAAGAACAGCTGCAACACCATTAAGCTTTGCAGCAGGGCATGCAGGACACTCACTATCCAGGACACCACTACCAGCAATCCACAGAGCCTGGGATTCATGATGACCATGTAATTCAGGGGTTGACAGATGGCCACAAATCGATCATAGGCCATCACAGTCAGCAGAAATATGTCCACCACAGAAAAGAGTAGAAAAAAATTCATTTGGGTGATGCAACCTTTATATGTTATGATTTTGCTCTGGGTGTGTATGTTCACCAGCATCTTTGGTACGGTGGTGGATGTGAAACAGATGTCCACAAAGGACAGGTTGGAGAGGAAGAAGTACATGGGTGTATGCAGGTGGGTGTCTGAGATAATGGCCAGGATGATGAGCAGGTTCCCTAGTACAGTGACCAGGTACATGGAGAGGAACAGTCCAAAGAGAATGGGCTGCAATTTATAGTCCTCTGAAATTCCAAGAAGAAATGCTAAGATTTGCGTCTTGTTCTCTGTCTTCATTGGGTTGATGTAACTGAAAGAAAATTTTAAAAATTATATAATACAATTATATAGTACCAATTTGATAGAAATGCTATCATATGTTTTCTATGGTTACGATATGAATTAGTTTTGCATATGAATCTGTGTCCCTTTAGATGATCCCTTTGCCACTTTCAGTTTTGAATATCTATCTCACTCTCACCTTTAGCAAGAAAGTATCCTTTTTTTTTTTTTTTTTTTGCGGAACCGGGGATTGAGCTCAGATCCTTGCATTTGCCAGGGAAGCACTTATTCCACTGAGCCATCTCCCCGGCCCAAGAAAGTATCCTTTTAAAAGATTGAATTCACCCATGCCTTTGAGGAATATGATTTCATGATCATCAGATTGCAGGAAATGATTGATCAGTGCTAGAAAAATGAAGATTCTTAATTTCTGATGAGAAAGAAAAACATGAGAAAATAGAAGCTGATAAAATAAAATCCTATAACATATCACTTGACAACAGTTACCATGAAGGAAAATACAAATTCAGAAGGAAAAGAAAAGAGGGAATGTCATTTTTAACTGAATGAACTTGCAAGACAAGTAAGTAGGTAGGTGATATTAAAAAAAATAACCTCTAGCTGGGGAGATAGCTCAACAGAATAAGTGCTTGCCTGGCAAGTACAAGATCCTGAGTTCAATCCCTAGTACTGCAACAAAAAAATAACCTCCAGGACAATGGGGAGGAATCTTCAAAATTATCTGCTGAAGTGTGCATTTTGCAGGAGGCACAGACAGGGCAAAGATTGAGGAATATGCTTGTTTCAGACATTTATGGTCAACAATGAGCCAGAGTGATATGGACCATAAGCAAGAAGGATAGTGCCAAGTGTTGGGCTCAGAGAATAAGGAAAAACAAAGGTGCCTCAGATACATATTGAAGCTCCAACATACAGAAATTTCTCTGTCCAGATGGTTTTGCATTTTCAGTGTAGCAATTAGCTCACAGTGGATCCCCGTGAATTAAAATAAATATCCTGTTCATTTACTTCTAGTTACTAATATTTTTGCCTCTGTGGTATGTTACATTTCAACATTAATGAGGCCAAAGACACTCTCTGACAAGTATTTTCATCCATAAAAGCAAATGTGTTCATACACACTTGCACATGTGCACATAGAGACACACCATTGTGCACAGAAACAAGCATCGCTTTAAAATAAGATTCATCCAGTGATATCCTGGGACTGTGATAACATCATGTTGTTTACATCTCTAGTCCTACAATTTTAAAGCAGTGAATATCAGGCAAGCTGTCTGTATAAAATTATTTCTCTCTGAGTAAATACATGACTGTTATCCACAAATCCTACTGTGTAAATCTCCCATGCATATATAACTTAAGGACTCCTTTTGGCTATGATGATTCTTCAATTGTATGCTTTAAGAATATTTAACATTATTCTTAATTAACAGAGAAAGAAAAATTAATTGGCCCTTGTGGTGTAATAGAATAATAAACTGCATGGTCCTCAAGAGATTGTAACAAAAAATGCTTCTTAATTTTTAATGGTATAACAACTCCAATTACCTCCCTTTAAGTGCTAGCAAAATTACTTAAGACCAAAATGAAATTTCATAAAAGACAACAAGTGAGCTCTTTTTTATTGTCAAGAAACTTAGAGAGTGAACAACCAAGTAGGAAGATACACAAAGGGAAGAATAAACCAAATAAGTAAATGCACAAACAACAATATAATTGGAACACGTTAAAAAATATTTTTATTTTAAAGAGAAAAAAACCTAAAAATAAAGCCAACAATACAAGCTAATAGGGGCTGGGGAGATAGCTCAGTAGAATAAGCACTTACCTGGCAAGCGCAGGGTTGAGTTCAATCCCTGGTACTAAAAAAAAAAAAAAAGTGAATAGGATAGAAATAAGAATTACTACATTGCATATTATTTTTAAAAGTAATTGCTCAGAGTACAAGACATAGGCATAAAATATTGTCTAAAGAATATTAACACAAACCTTTCTTTTCAGTGAACTAAGAGAAACCAGCTGTAAATCTAACTCTCTTCTAGATGATAGATAGATAGATAGATAGATAGATAGATAGATAGATAGATAGATAGATGATAGATAGATAGATACATAGATACATAGATACATAGATACATAGATACATAGATACATAGATACATAGATAGACAGACAGATGTATAGATATAGATGATAGATATAGATGAAAGATATAGATAGATATTTCTTTTCCCTTCCTTCCTCTCTCCTTTCCTCACCATAGTTTCTCTTCTTCTGAACAGTTTCTTCCCAATTCACAAAATGCATTTTACATTTTGGATCTTATTTACTTGTTTCAAAGAAATTTTTCTCCTGTGCTTTTCCATATTAATATCAACAGTGGGATTCCAGTGTTTCATTTTATTTCAATTAACACATATTAAGTGTGTATATTTTTAGAATATAAGGATGAATTTCAATACATGTACATTGTGTGATGATCAAGTCAGGATAGCTAGCATATCCATTACTTCAACCGTTCCCCATTTCATTGTGCTAAGAATATTCAAAGTTCTCCTTCCCTTGTGTTTTCATATATACAGTGCACTGTGATTAACTATAGTCCTTCCACAGAACAATAAAATAACAAAATTTCCTCTTCCTATCTCACTAGATTTGTCCCTGTTGATAAATCTTACACTATTTTGGAGCCCATCCTTGACCCTGTCTCTGACATTGTTTTATTCTCCACTTTTATCAGATCAGTTTTAGGTTCCACCATGAAAACTAATGGTTAGTATGTCTCAGTGACATAATTCAGATGCAAAAAGAAAAATACCAGTAGGTTTTTTATGGGCAATAACAGACAAAGATTATTTTCCCCATTATTTTGTGGGGTAACTTGCTTGTGCTTTTTTCCCCCCAGATTTTCAGTTTTGAACTAGTTAGACAAATCTCAAATCAGAACTCTGCACAGTAGGTTGCAGCATTTCTGCAACATGAAAGTTTAGTACAGATGATATCCTATAAAATCTTGCACTCACCCGGACGTATCTTTCATTTTACACTGAATTAAGTCAGACATGTGGCTGATTCTCAAGGCCATTACTCACATGTATTTTCATACATCTTACCACATCTTAGCATCGTGGAATGGATCCAAGTGAGCAGAGACTTACCTCCTTTATTCACTTTTTAGTTTTCACAGGGTTAAGTGAATATGTGTTTCTCTCTCCCTCTTTTTTTTTTTTTTTTTTTTAATTTTAGGGAAGGGCCTACAGGGTGTTCAGGGTCTCACTACTATATCAGACTCATGGTGATTCTCTTGTTTACAGCCTCCCAAGTGCTGGGATTACAGACGCGTGCCACCACACCCAGGCTCAATTGCCGTCTCAGCGAGCCCAGGGGTGGGACCAGCACGGCAGGCCCCGGGATCAAACCCACAACCCCTGAGCCTGCTTGCAGGCACTTTAATCTGCTGAGCTATTAGGCTGGCCCTAGGGTTAAATGAATATGTTTACATTATGTAAAGTTGAAGAGAAGGAAAAGTTGTACAATAAAAATAATTCCAAGATAATAGCAATAGCAGATTAAATTGAGTTTTAAAAGCTGTATTAAACATAACTGAAGTATCAAGCATTACATCTAAAAAGATATATAATATGAATAGTTTAACATTATGAAGATGGATTGATAATTAAATTGGTAAAGATCAGGACATAAAATAATGTCTTACTCTCCCACCACAAAATATCCAACATTCCCAATTTAAAGAACAAGAGGTTTATTTTGGCTTGTGGTACAAGTGTATTGTCATCTTGCTCCCAGGCAGAAACAGAATGACATGACATGGCAGAGGAAAAACAGTTCCACTCTTGATCTTCAGGAAGTAGAAAGAGTGACGAGCAGCCAGGAAAAACACATCCTTCCAGGTCAGGTCAGGACCTAAATCTTAGTAGCAAGTCAGCTACAGTGTCCCCATGGTCCAATCAACTTCTTTTTTAAAAAATTATGTATTTATGTATCTATGTATGTATTTATTTGGTACAGGGTCTAGCTATACAGTTCTGACTCATAGTGATCCTCCTATCTCAGCCTCCCCAGAACTAGGATTATAGGCATGTGCCACCAACCCCAGTTTTGGGGCGCACGGTACATGCAGGGTTCTGGGGCCAGCGTGGCATGCAGAACCAGGATCAAACTTGGGTTCTTCTGTTTGCCAGGCACCTGGACCACTGCACTATCTCCCCAAACCCCAATCAACTTCTTATAATGAGAAATTGAGTGATATTTCAAATCCAAAGAGTAACAATGAAAACAATAATTTTCTTAAAATATTGCAACATGTCAAATGTCTTCAGTTGCAATTTAATGAATCATTGTAAATGGATTTTTAACATGTGGCAAGGTTATATTTGAACTTATTTGGAAAAATTTGAATAGCTAAAAGAAAGCTTGGATAAATGGGTGTGTATGTGGATGAAAATGAACTTGGTACAAAATATTCTACAAAATATCAGGAATTTTCTTTAAGATGAAAGTAAATAATAAAGTTTAGAAGAACATCATGAAAACCTCGTGAATATCAGGGCAAAATCATCTTGAATGGCACCAAAAATTCAGAAATAAAAACATAAATAGCCAACTACATTACATTTACTATTTTATAGAATACTAACAATGTCAATAAGAAATAAAAAACTGGAAAGTTGCACTGAAATGCTGATTTATATAGAAGTTAGATATATGATGATAATAAGCCAGTTAAAGTAGTGTTTCATCTCAGATATAAGAAATGCTTTTACTTTACTTATGTCTTTCCACAGATATGGCATTATTTATCTTTTTCACCTAATTAATTGCAAGTGTTCTTGGGCCCATGAAGCCACTGTAAGCTTCTCAGTCCTTTTAATACAGTTTCATTTGTCACTGCTTAACTGTCAACAATGATTTCACACTACTCAGTTCATTGTTCCTTTCACTTTTCTACACAGTGAATGAATATATCAATA